ATTGTCGATGACACTTAACCATACTTTTTTATACTAATGGTAGTAATGCACTATATAATTTTTATTTAATTAAATAATGCACCAAAGAACATAGACTAATAACATGCAAAAGATAGACAAGTTTCCTTAACTCTCACGAGTTTTCTGGCTTTCTAACTATGCAACAAGAGCCATTACACATTCATCCAAGCTGGTCGTTATCTTTCCTGTGGGAATGAAGTTGTACCTACAGTGAAATTGACAATTCTCTGTTCAGAAAACAGCATAATATAATATGTCATTTGATAGATGAAAACCTTGGCTTTCTATTGGTTATACATAGTATAGGTTTAAGAGTAAGAGAGAACTATTAAGAAATCCTGAAAGAGAGGATGTGATAGGTGGGCGTGGCAAGAGGGGTCTGATTTTCTACTTGATAGCTCTGTAACCAAACAAAATTGAAGGCTATAAAAATTATCGTTTGTCTGAGCAATGATGACTTTATAGTGAGTAATTTACATTAAATTTTGTGTTTACTGGAGGGGTGGTGGATAAAACAGAGAAGAGGAGATGCCTAGAGAAAATGTCGCACTAGGGGAAATTCAGGATTTTTTTAACTACTGCCTTATAAAATTAAGAACTTAAAACCTACATATGATTAAAATATGAATTATTAGCTATGATTTTAAGCTATACTAATTGGTGCAACATAAACAAAAAGTAGTTTAATTACATTTTGAGTATAAGTCACTAAATCCTTGTGAGATGTGGAGTAAAGGATGCCCGTGGCGAAAGGGTTAAAGAAACCAAAATATTGATCTTTTTAATCAGAATATAATGATTTTAAACAATGGGTCTTTTTATCCTTAAGAAGACAACACTAACACAATACTGATCCTTATATAAAAGAAACAACATGAAAATTGTGTTATGAAATATATTCTGTAACATATATCAAAGCATTAAACATGAAACACTGAATACTCCTACTTACCTTTCTTATTAGATCTCGTGCATCAGGAGTCAGATATGGGGGAAGATTTAGTTTACACTTCAAAATCTGAAATGAAAATTATTTCTAATTATTTCTGTTTACTGAAATATACATAAAATACTGAGGACATTGATTGCAGAAATACAAATTCTACAAGACAAACTCATAAGGCAGTTGCCACAGAAAAAACAATGTTTTTCAACTCATAAGACACAAGCTAACTAAAAACATTGACTCTGAATTGTAAGGCACTAGCTAATTAAAAAACTGCCTCCAACTCAAAGCACTAGCTAAAAACTCATAAGTGCTAGCTAACTAAAGGAAATATTGACTCCAAATCATAGGACAATAACTAAAAAACACTGACTCTAACTCATTAGGGACTAATTTTTAAGTTAGCTAGCATCTTGTGAGTTGGTGTCGGTATTTTTAAGGTTAGCTAGCATCTTGTGAGTTGGTGTCGGTATTAGCTAGCATCTTGTGAGTTGGTGTCGGTATTTTTAATTTTTAAGTTAGCTAGCATCTTGTGAGTTGGTGTCGGTATTTTTAAGTATTGTCTTAAGAATTTGTTGGCAATCAACATTTAAGGTAATATATACAAAGTACTAAGTTGCTATTTTTTATTACAAGTTATAACGAAGATTCATAACAACAATGTATTATTGGAAAATATATTACAATATTTTTATTCACCCCCATTGTTTTTGGTTTATACTCTAAAAAACTTAACAGAAAAAAAATCATTCTCACCCTTTCTATAGTTTTCTTTCTGTTTTCTGCAGTGAAGGGAGGCTAATAGATAAGAACAGATACTGCCTGTTTATTTTGTTGGTCTGTATTTTTGAACTAGATCTACACAAATCCTTTAATAAATAACACGTTATGGAATAAATGAAACTTTAGAAACATCAACAATTGTATGTTATTTAAAATAAACATAACTTAGTCATGCACCTGAAGTAACATTTCTAATTTGCATTTAAATTTATTTTACTGTTTTTGTGGAAATTATTATCCAATTAAATATCTAAAATTAGTATAAATCACAATATTAATTAAACCTCCATAATGATGAGCTATAAAAAACAATGTTATTAGCAAGTTGAAAGTAAGTCTACCATTAGTTAAGCCTCCTTTACACATGTTAATTTCATTAATCAGCATTTTAAAACAAATCTTAAGCTACACCTTTTAGTCACCAGTTATGCATGAATTACAAATAATCGTAATAAATCTCATAACACATTAAGAGGTTAAAATTGGGCTTAACTTCAACTAAGCCTACTTTATGCATATTAATTTTGCTGATTGATATGAAATTCTGTCTTTAATTTTTGCCTATCATAAGCTTTACTTTTCATTCTCAAGTACTATAAATAAAAAGGATCTGTTAATACAAGTTAATTACTTACAGCACCAGTCAGCATGTCATACATTAAAGCACCAAGGCTCCACCAATCTACTGCTTTAGCATGTCCACTTCTCATTAAGATTTCAGGGGCCCTAAAGCCAAACAAGTACAATGAACCTCTAATCTAATGACAAGCATTTAACTTAAAGATGATAGTGCTCTTCTAAAGAGGCTATTAACACAAATTGAAAACAAGTAAAAGAAAGTGCTAATATCTTTCAGCCTACAATAATTTGCATAGAGTAATATACACACAGTTAAATTCCTTTTTTGTACCTATTTAACTGAAAGTTTAAATATAACCACAGCTCAGAGTGAGATCAAACCATATATGATTTAGACTACTTAATGATCTTAATGACATACACAAGAGTCTGCTTATCAATCCACTGAGGTACAATTTCAATCAAGTGATGTCAGCAATAGTTTTTTGCACAAAAGATTAGTTAATATTCACTAAAAACTGTCACCTTTAAATTACCCACAGAAAACTGATCTCTGCTGTGCAGAAAAAACTATATCTTAATTTACACAAAAATTTTGTAATCTAACCAGAAAACTACCAAAACATTACCTTAGAGTTATCTTGGGATGCCTGACTATCAACACATGGGGAAAAACATACCTGATCTTAAAAGTAATAAAAAAAAACTTTGTGGTATTCCAATGTAAGCATAAGATCATTATACTGACTTGTGAATCATGTTAAGTCAACAGTAATCATATAAAACAAAACAAAAATAAACTCTCACATATTTAAAGGTTCCACTAAATATGTGAGCTAACTAAAGGATATTTAAATTCACTAGATATGTGATAACTAACATGTATTTAAAGGTTCCACTAAATATGTGAGCTAACTAAAGGATATTTAAATTCACTAGATATGTGATAACTTACATGTATTCAATGGTTCCACTAAATATGTGAGCTAACTAAAGGATATTTAAATTCACTAGATATGTGATAACTTACATGTATTCAATGGTTCCACAGAATGTGTGAGCTAACTAAAGGATATTTAAATTCACTAGATATGTGAGCTAACTAAAGGATATTTAAATTCACTAGATATGTGATAACTTACATGTATTCAATGGTTCCACTAAATATGTGAGCTAACTAAAGGATATTTAAATTCACTAGATATGTGATAACTTACATGTATTCAATGGTTCCACAGAATGTGTGAGTTATGACCCCATCTTGAATAGATTCTTTACATAAACCAAAATCTGTCAATTTAACATGACCTGGAAATATATGAAAACAGAAAATATTAGATCTGTTATAAGTAGGGAAATAAGGGCAGACCATAATGATATACATAGCAGAAAAATAACATCTTAAAAGTCTAACCATTGATTAAAAATCAATCTGAAAATTATACTTTCTTTAAAAATCTTCAAAAATATAGAGAAATAATAAATCAAGAGATCACAGATCAAATAAATATTTTAACTTCACTTACCTAATTTACTAGATCCCATGTAGTCTAATATAAAATAGATCTCTAAGCTATTCAGATTCAACACATCACAATACTAGTTTAGTAGAGCCCATGTACTCTAACATAGAACAGACCTCCAAACCATTCACAATTAACACACACGACATCAGTAAAAAATAAAACTACAACAAAGAGCATTTAATGTTCCACCTTGAGCATCAAGCAGGATGTTCTCAGGTTTAAGGTCTCGATATATAATTCCTTCTCTGTGCAGATGTTCTAAGGCAAGAAGAATTTCAGAAATGTAGAAGCTAGAAGAATAACACAACAGTTTTAAAATTCACAGTTTGGAAAGTACTTTATAACCAAAATATAAAAAACTATATAATACTTCACAGAAATATTTTAAGTTATTATCTACTGTCAGACTGACAAAGTATCTATATTTATACCTGATGACAGATAGTAACCACAAATACCACAATAATTATATTACAATTAGTTTTCCCACTTGGAAAATCAAAAATCTACTCAATTAATAAATTAAGTATGAAACATCAGTTCTAAATTATATATTTATCCAACAGAAGTTATGGGATTTAAGCAGGTGTTTTACAGTATTTCACTTTGCCTAAAAAACTGACTGTATTCTCTATTCTTTAAATTCCAAATGAATAAAAAATCAGCTTTATTTAGAGTGTAATACAGGGAATGTCCTTTGCTTGATAAAAAAATAGAATATAATAAAGCATAGTATTACTAGAAAACACACTTTGTACACAAGTTAGCTTATAAGGAAAAGTAATAAGAAAGAAACATATAGCTTAAGAATATTGTGACAAATATGTATGTTCAGAGTTTAAGCTAAAACACAAAAAATATTGTCCTATTATGTGTATTTATCAAGATATTAACTCTTATCACAACAGGTATCCTTTACTATGCATGTCACGAGGTTTTAGTGATTTATATTCAAAATTTTATTAATCTACTTATTGTTTATGTTATATCAATTAGTATAGCATAAAATCTTAGCTAATAATCCATATTTTAATCTAATATAAAGTTTAAGGCAATATTTTAAAAATTCCTGAATTTCCCCTTGTGTGACACATTTTCTCTAGGCATCTCCTCTTCTCTGTTTTATCCACCACCCCTCCAGTAAGTACGAAATTTAATGTAAATTACTTACTATAAAGTCATCATTGCTCAGACAAACGATAATTTTTATAGCCTTCAATTTTGTTTGGTTACAGAGCTATCAAGTAGAAAATCAGACCCCTCTTGGTACACCCACCTATCACATCCTCTCTTTCAGGATTTCTTAATAGTTCTCTCTTACTCTTAATACTATACTATGTATAGGTTCTCATCTATCAAATGACATATTATATTATGCTGTTTTCTGAACAGAGAATTGTCAATTTCACTGTTAGTACAAGCAAGATAAAAGAAGATTCAGGTAAGCACTTTATTTCATGTTAATTCTTTATTATTATTAAAGTAACTAAAATGTAAAAATAGGGATTGCTTTAGGTTAGTTACGATTAGATTAGCTAAAATAAATAATATTATGATAAAAATGTTTCATGAGGCATGCACGCAAGCAGTGCATGGGTTATTGTAATTCGATAGTGTAACGAGACCTCCATGTTCCCCTAGTGATTTACAACTTATAATGGCATGAAGAGTAGTTAGTTCAAAGGGCAATAAAACAATAAAATGTAATTATAAATAGATGTAAACTGTTACAAGTTTAAAACTACTTAGGACAAACAAAAGTAGTTGCATGTGACAATTTGAAGTCATTCTAGAAAGAAAAAAAGGGTAATTTAGATATAAATTTGATATTCTTTTTGGTGGTTACAATTAAGGTTTAGAATTAAGGTAGAGAAAATAACAGAAAAATATAAAGTTTTACTGAAAACAAAAATTTGAAATGATTTAGGAGGTTTTAGAGATTACACAACTCAAATCTGAGATGTTTGAGAAGAAAAGTATTATTAATCTTAACATGAAAATCACTTTGTACATGGACTATTCAAAACAAACTCGATATATTCACAAAAAAATATGATTTTTTTATATGTGAAAGACTTATGATGTTTACTGAAAGACTGACAAATTTAGTGAAGATATACAAACTATATTAAAAATTAGTAGTATCAAATCTATAAAGACTTTATACCAGTACAAATATATTGACCTTACACCCTTGCCTGGCTAACAATATAGAAGTTACAAAGACATGGCTCATGTGCACTCATGTTACATATCAAATAACATAAAGGTGACCTTTGGTCTGTACAAAGCAACTTGTCTTGGCCCGAGTTTTAGTCAACTAGTATTTTGTAAAATACAGTCACATTTCAATTATTATACATTATATATGTATATAGATTATTGCTTTTTAAAAATAAGTTCTTAAAGTTACTTTTCCTAAAACATAAAACAGTAAATAAAGAAGTAAAGCAACAATTACCTCTTCTAGTTACAACCTTTGTACTCGGTTGCTGCTTGACGTAGGTTGCTGAGTCTTTAAAAATTTTGCATGTGGAGGATATGAAACAAAATATTTTTTTTTAAGTTTTATATAAACATTTTAATAACTAAAAATCATAAATTACTACATCAATACCATATAATTCTATCATAATTTATCAAGGTTAGTAACTAAGCTGTATTTCAGTCTAAAAAAATATGAAATTTCGTGGCAGACTAAAGACACAACCTTCTCATTGAAATCTTTGCTCAAAAGTAAGA